GCATGGAGGGGGTGTATGTGTTACAGCCCTGCATAGAGGTGTGTGTGTATGTGTGTGTCCAGGGGGCACTCCAGGCTGATCTCCTCATTCCCGCAGCGTGAAGATCCTGAGGAAGAAGTGGGCCCAGCCAGGAGCTCTGCAGTCCCGGGCCTCCAGGGGCAGCTCCGTCCTGGATTACGTCAATGTGGACCCCAGCGGGGCTTCTCGGGTGAGTGGCTCCCCCTTCTCTTCCTTTCAGGCACCCCGTCATGAGCCGTAGGCCACGTGGCTCAGCCTTTTGGAGCACTCCACTTCTCCCTCCCTCCCGGAGAGCTGGCTGCAGGATTAGAAGGGATCTGATGGGTTAAGCTCTCAGCCGTGAAGCAGAGGCATGCGGTGGGTACCAGGAGGCCGCTCTGCGGGAGAAAGACGTGGCAGTCCGCCCGCATCAAGATCACCCGTGGCCGTCGGGTCGATTCCACCTGGTAGTGATCCTGTAGACAGGGTAGAACGCCCCTAGGGATTTGGGGGCCGGTCATCTTCCAGGAAGCGATGTTGATGGGTTTTGCGGAATCGCTACCGGGTTCAAATCGATGACCTTTACCTGTGGCCTATGAAACCCTATGGGGCAATCCTACACTCTGCCCTATAAGCTCCATAGGAGTCCCGGGGCACAGGGGCTACTAACTTCAACGGTGGCCGTTCAAACCCGCCAGTTGATCAAAGGAAGAAAGACGAGATAGTTCCGTCCAGGGCAGCCATGGAAAGCCCGTTAGGTAGTGCTAGTCCATCCATCCCACGGGGTCTCTATGGGCCCGAACAGACTCCATCCATAGGGTGGGTTGGGTTGGTCTTTAGCGCGCCAAGTGAGGAAGGAGACAGGGATGGGCACCCCGCCCGCAACAGCGGCTCTAACCCAGCGGTTCTCAACCTGTGGGTCACCACCCCTTTGGGGGTCGAATGCCCCTTTCACAGTAGCAACATAACAGTGATAAAGTAGCAACGAAAATAATTTTATGGTTGGGGGGGGGGGGGCGGTGTCACCACCACATGAGGAACTGTCCGAAAGTGTCAAGGCATTAGGAAGGTTGAGAACCAGTTGTGAGGATGGTGCCCGGACCCATGTGGAAATGTTTCCTTCAGCCGACCGACCGGACAGCACCTAACCCTAACAGGGGTGATGACGAACTCGGAAGCTGTTGTTGTTGTTAGGTGCCAATGAGTTTGTTCCAACCCGTACACCACAGAACAAAACAGTGCCCGGTCCTGCGCCATCCTCCCAGTGGTGGCTCTATGAGAGCCCATTGGGGCAGCCCCTGTGTCAATCCATCTCATTGAAGATCCCCCTCTTTTTCATTGCCCTATTTTACTGTAAGAAGCCCGGTGACAGAGTACCCCTGGTTACTTGTTGGGCTGCTAACTGCAAGGCCAGCGGTTTGAAACCAGCAGCCACTCCTCATTAGAAAGATGGGGCTCCCTACTTCTCATGAAGCGTCCCAGTCTCGGAAACTGACAGGGGCCGTTCTACCCTGTCCTGTGGGGTCGCCACGAGTCAGCATCGACTCCGGGGCAGTGAGTTTGGTTCGGTTTGGGGGTTACTTTATCAAGCCATGATGTCCTTTTCCAGGGACTACTCATCTCCTCACAGCAGGTCCAAAGTCCGTGCGATGAACTCTCACCATCCTTGCCGCTAAGGAGCATTCTGGCTGTACTTCTCCCAAGACAGACGTGTTCGCTCTGCTGGCAGTCCGTAGCACTTTCAATATTCTTCTCCGGCACCGTAACTCAAATGCATCGATTCCTCTCCGGTCTTCCTTGTTCCGTGCCCAACGTTCACGTGCATGGGAGGTGATTGAAAACACCGTGGCTTGGGTCAGGCATACTTGAGTCCTCAGAGTGACAGCCTTGCTCTTCAAAGAGGTCGTGGGCAGCAGAGTCGCCCCGTGCAATACGTCGTTAGATTTCTTGACTGCTGCTTCCACTGACTGCAGACCCCCGCACGAGGAAATCCTTGACCACTTCAGTCTTTCCTCCGTTGGTCAGGAAGTCATCCCTGCCGTGGGTTCCAATCCCGTTCTCATTACTTTGTGTCCTTGAATGGGTCCCTTAACTTCCCTGTGCTTCCATTTCTTTAGCTGTAAACTGGAGCTGAGAGTGGTGCGGACCTCCCGGGATTTCCCTAGGCATGAAATATAGTGCCTGGCACCTGTCAGTGTGCAGACAGTGCTGGCTGTCTATTGTGAGGCCAAGTCCACCTGCCAATGGCTCCAGCACGTCCAACTCCCAGCCTCTTGGGCTCATTTCCAGCTGTCCAGGTAGCATTGTTCTGTAGCTGTCTCAGAAATCCATTACGATTGAGTTGATTCAGGCTCACAGCGGCTCCAGGTACAACAGAAAGAAACACTGTGTAGTCCTGTGTCATCCTGTCTTGAGCATGTTGTGGCAGCCACCGTGTCAATCCATCTCATGGAGGAGCTTCCTCTTTTTCACTGGCTCTCCACCTTACCAAGCCTGAACTGGACCCCCGCCCCCTCTGCGACCTAGCTAAAGGAGGTGAGACAATGTCTTGCCATCCTCACCTCTAAGGAGCACTCTGGCTGCGTCTCCTCCAAGCCATAATTGCTCATTCTTCTCTTAGTGCCTAGGACGTCCCAAAGCTTTTGCGAAGACCATCCTTCAGGTGCATTGAGGCATTCTTTGGCCTTCTTCATGGTTCAACTTTCCCATGCATATGAGGTGATTGATAACACCATGGCTTGGATCAAAGCGATACCTTTGCTCTGTAACTGTCTAAAGAGGTCGATTCCAGATCCACCCAGTGGGACACATCATTTGATTTCTTGACTGTCCCCGCCGCCGCATCGATGGGTGTTCATGATGGAATCAAGTAAATGGAAAGCACTGACAATTTCAGCCTTTTCTGTATTTATCCTAATATTGCCGATTGGCCCAGTTGTGAGGATCGTTTTCTTTATGGTGAGATCATCTATCATGAGGGCTGTAGCCCTTGATCTTCATCAGTCAGTGCTCCAAGTCTTCTTTGGTTTCAGCAAAATGAGGCTGCCTCATCTGCATCTTGAAGGTCGTTCATGAATCTTCCTCCAATTCTGAAGTCAAGTTCTTCTTCCTATAGCCCAGCTTCTCCTCAGCTTATTTGCTCAGCATGCAGATTGAAGAAGGGTGGTCCCAGGAGAGACCCTTGCTGCCTATCTTTCCTGACTTTCAACTGCTCAGGACCCCCTTGTTTTATTTGAGTAACTGTGTCTTGGTCGTTGTACAAGTACCACAGGAGCACCATGCTTGGTGGCAGAGTGGGATATGTGTTGGGTCCACAGTTGGAAACCAGAAGCTCATCCTCAGGAGAAAGATGAGGCTGTCTGCTCCTGTTAAGATTGACAGCCTCAGAAACCCACAGGGGCAGTTCTACACTGTCTTGTAGAGGCACCAGGAGTCAGAATCAACTCGTTGCAGTGAGTTTGGGGTTTTGTTTGTTGTTGTTTATTACTGGGAACTGAAGCATGGTGAGTATCTTCTGAGGACACCATGTAAGGTTCATCATCCGAGGACTAGTGGGTGCTCAAAGTTCCCATCTGTGTTGTTCAAGGGTCATCTGCAAACGATGCTCATGGTTTTTTTTATTGGGAGGGAGATGGGGACCCCGAACGGCCAAGCTGTCTGCGTGTTAACTGTATGTGCTTGTTTGCTGGTGATCT